CTCCCCAAGGCTCAGAGAAGGGCGGGGTGGGGGGGGGGGCAGGGAGAGGAGGTGGAGAACAGATCTGGGGGGTGACCAGAAAAGACTCAATGAGCTACCATTATTCCCATTTTGTAGTGAGGACGCAGAGCTAAAGTAACCCACCCAAGGTCACACGTTGAACCTGAGGTGGCTTTGAACCCGAGGTGGCTGGCCCCTAGCCTCCTGAGGGAAAGGGCACTGTGCTTTCTCCTCATCCCAGGAGTGGGAAAAGGGGGACTCAGAGAGCTTAATGCAGCCGCCTGCCCACGTCAAGCAGCTAATCAGCAGCAGATCCAGGATTTCAGACTCCAAAGCCCAGCTCTTTCCACCAGCTGCAGGGGCCTGCAGGCCGGCAGTGGGTCATGTCACCACCATTGTCACCAGCATCAGGACTGAGCAAGGGCAGCCGCGTGCCTTGTGTCTGGACACAGGGAGCTACTGTGCACAGATCCCGTGACTCCCACCCCCCTGAGCTTCCAGGCCTGGGCACCTACTTTGTAACAAGCCACGCTCAACACCCACACAAGGACACAACACATTGTCCATCCCAGTCAGCAGACACCAGCGTGCTGGAACTGAAAGAGATGTTTAAAGCCATGTATCAAACCCACTCATTTTGCCTGGGCCAGAATGACCCCCGGTCCAGTGTGAGCTCAGCTCATAATGAGTTCAGCATGATCCCAGCATGCCAGGGCCTCCCATTTATCATCCTGAAGAGCCCTGCCAGGCCACCTGGCCGGGGCCATCACCCCTGGGTGAAGCTTTCACCACATAGAAACCCAACCAATCCTCTTTCCATGTTCAAGACACACAGCTTAGAATAACCAGTTTTTTTCCCCAAGCCTTCAGAAATGCAAACCCATATGTACTTGGAAGAAAAGACCAATGTTACAACTCTTAGCACCAGGGCAATATGCAGGGAGCAGCTCTTAGGAAGTTACTAGTAAAAAAAAAAAAAGCCAACAAGTGCATTCGGGCCTGTAAAGTGTGAGGGGAGCTTGGCGTTCTACCCCGTTCACCCCCAACACCTTTGAGTTGGGGAATGAAGCTTGAGCTGGGAGGTGTGTGAGCTGAGCCGCAGGGTCGTGTATGGGAAAGAGAGAGGGAGGCAGGCAGACTCATCCGTGCGTTCACTGGCAGCGAGGAGCGGGGCCGGCCATATGGGCAGTCATGAGGGGGCACTAATTAGAAGCAAACTAAGGCCGGCCTGAAGTGGCTGCAAGGACACCCAGTGGGGGCCATTTCCTGCACAGGGTGGGCAGCCCTGGACGAGAGGCCGACAGGTGCTGCCTCCTCTGAGTCTCTTGGCAGCATCTCACCTGCTCCTGCAGCTCATTCCGAGATGCGCGTGACCTTGGAACACCCAGGGAAGCTGGGTTTGGCTAGAGATTCCCGGGAGACGGTTTTCTACAGTGAACGGCCGTCTCCTCAGCTTTCTCTTTTGAGGATTTATCTGCAAAAGCTAAAGGACTTTTGCTTATCTTGAAGTTCAGCACAAGGATGGGTCATATTTTGACTTAGCGATTTTGACACAGGGTCACTTCGACATAATCCTAGACATCCAACCAGGGGAATTGGTCAGCGTGTGTTTGCAAATGCCTTAAGCGTGCTGCAGGGAGTCTTGAGGGGTGTGTTAGCGTGAGGAAATGAGGGAAGCTTCAGGACTGAGACAGAATG